CCCTGGCCCAATGCCCGGACTTTCTGGTATATACGGGCCTGCTCCGTGCGGACCGACCGGACAGAATATATCTCCTGGGGCGTGGACAGAGGGGTAGGGTGACGGATGACGGGGTCATTGTCACTATATCCACCGCCACTGCTGCGAGGCGGGCTGGGAGGACGAATGGTCGGCAATGCGATACCTCGGTGGACAGCGAGATATTGCTCACGATGAAGTCCATTGGACTTCGAATCTATGCTCGACGACGAGGCAATGCCGAGCCCGGTATTCCCTGACACTGCAATCGGGCGGGGAGGAACAGAGACCCGGCCGGGTGGTGCATAGTCACTCAAACTGCGGTTCCGAGAATGAGAATGCTTCGAGGACGAGTCGCGACGGCGCCAATTGTTCACAGTTGACTCTTCCCCTTGGCCATCAATGCCAGTGTATGGTTTGGCGCGCGAGCGGGGCGTGACGGGCGGCCCAAGCATATGCGATGAATCGCTCAGGCGAAGACTGGAACCGTTGCGCGACGTTATTGACGAAGAACGAGACAATGACGGCAGATCAGCTCTACGCCACGGCGACGCTCCTCCAATTGGCGACGGCAATGGAGTTATGTCACCCATCGCATTCAATTGAGGCGAGGACATGATGGATGCCGGGGACAAAGAGCCCGCACTGTATATAGGCGGTGCGATGAGGGCACGAAGACTCGGGGTACGGTGTGGATAACTTCCCGACAAACTGGCCGATGCATAAAGATCGGAGTCTCGCGAGCTAGATGGTCGGATACTGGGTAGATCGGTGCGAATCTGAAGAGATGGTAGTGGCGACTCGGGATTAAGTATGGAAGGTGCGAGGTCGTCTACCGAAAGAGGGCCATTCACCTCCTCTTTCGTTGTAAGTTCATTGTCGCTTGCATCTTGAAACATGGATGACATGGTCGATAGACCGGGCTCGTGTATCATTTATCGAAAAGGTGTTGGGAGGGAGGATGACTCGGACGCAAACGGAAGGCCGGAAGCGTTAAGTTCTATCCTCCGGGGTGTGGGGGGGGGGGTCAGAGTCGCCAGATATAAACGGCCAAAGATAAGAGTTTTGGGACCCCCAGCTAAGCCTCCAGGCCTAAATGGCCTTAGCGTGGGAAGACCCGTTAAGGGTCACCTCTCTACTCCGTAGGTATAGCGGAAGTTCAAACCGCATGCAAGATAGATTATGAAGGGGGACAGAAGAAAAGGGGAAATGAAGGACCAGGAGTAAATACAATTAGAAAGGAAAGAAAAGCGACATGGCTGGGCGATGCAGCGAAAAGAAGGGAAAAAAGAAAAAAACAAGAAAATCACCTGGGCAGGATTAATCGGGGCTAGTCAGCTGACGATCCTAATATGGTTAGCTCCCCATGTGTTCCCCGCAGTGTTTACTTGAGTTTATACTGGAATTTAATAGGGTAAGTATGGAGATATCGGATGTAATAGAAGATGGGGGATTATATTATTTAAATTTATGTCGACCTATACACTTTGAAATGATCTCATTTGACCTGACCTTGGTATGTATCTTTTAATACTGCCTTAGTACTGTGACCACCGAAGATGTTTGCTCCGAGTGTAGTTCCCAAAGAGGAAGGTGGTATGCCTATCATCTGCACTTTTCTGGGCCTCAGGCCTCAGGTATAGATTATACCTCGTAACTATTAACATGGTATCTTGTCCAACCGAAGATCATTTCTACACTCTCTACATAGGACGCTGTACATTTCATTCTCTTTCGTACTCCGTACATACCTCAATGTTCAACCCTTGCTCTCTCAGGCACGACAGCCTGGCGGCCGGGCCCGGTCATGTAGGGACCAAACGCGTCCAGTGCGCCACTGGTATACCTAATTTTAGCCTTCGCGGTGGCTTGCCCCCGAACCCAAAATCGTTGCGTATGTGATTCTCCGCCTTGGCGTGCCCACTGGCTGTATGACGACGCTCAAATGCACTCCCTAAGTACACTTTTTAAGGTTGTCATCAAATTCTGACTGCAAATATGAAACGATAGGCGAACCCATTCTCCATTCCTGGGAGTTGACGTGGCCCCGATGCATCCCGTTATAGCCCATTCTCCGGATAGATCAGCCGCATAATGTCGCTTCGGTCATCTTTGCGGCTTCTGCAGGAGAGGCGTTGAACAGCAAGGGGCACTATGTACTCCGTACACCCGTTCAATTAATTGGAGGGGTGGTATGCGGGTTCCAAGGTTAGTGGGGGAATTTTTCAGCGTCTTTTGGGGTTGAAGATCCCTGCATCATGTCCACCATCGAGGCCAAGGTCAACTACGGATAAAGACCAACTTCAAGAGACGCGGACGTTCTCCTTCTAAGTTTCCGAACGAACTCGTCGATCACCGCCCTGTCGTGGACCCCAGCACCGTGCCCATTTGCTGGTTGAATAAAGTGGCTGGGAAGGGATCGGCACGTTACGAACCCGACCGGGTAGCTAGGACCCGACCACGGTGGGGCTTTATATGGTGAACCCTGAGCTTCAGACCAAGGATTGGGTCTGATATCAAAACTCGTTATCAAGGACATACATATGTCGAGCTTCTCGCACAAGCTGGTTCCAGGTCATCCTCCTTTCCTCCGCACCCTACTCCGAGAGGGTTGCTGAGGTAGATCTGAATCCTCTGGCAGGTCCAGTAATAACAGCGACCTTCTTTCCCGTTATGCCGTGGATTGTCGCAGAGCTGGTCTTGGGATTGATCCCATCCAGACAAATGACAGAGAAATGGTGCTAACCAGTATGATACAAAGGTGAACATACACCAAACCTTCGTATCAGCCAAATACGGGTTGACCGTTTTTCGACTCATTCTATGGAAGCTTGACCTTGTATAGTTTGCAAGACATAGTCAACGAGGCTACAGCACTTTTGAAACTCGCTCGGATTCCCCCATGAGGGCTTGCACATCTTGTCCACGAGAAACTTAATTCCTTCATGGATATGAACAGTGGCTGCTCCCCGTCCTCGTGAGGCAGGACTTTCCTGCAGCAGTGATACACGACCACGTTCTGCCCATCTAGCGTTGGAGCCTGGCGAATCGTCTGGCAGGCTAAAGTTCTCAGTCATCATCGCTGCTGGTCGGGAATGTCATGTTGCAAAATCGTGTAGGGCTGGCTTCGGGACCTGCACTACCTGTGGTCGTACAGGAGCAGCCTCCTTTGTAATCTCGAACTCATATTTTAGAAACACGACAAGGTGAATAGATAGTTAGCACTATCGAGCCAAATGTTCCGTTCAATCCCGCGCGTGGGACGCTCAACACCGAACACCGAACGTCAGAAAATTAGAAAATCTTTCCGGCGGAAACCACCCGAAGATATGGGAAGTTATGGTTTCTCGACACTGGTCTTCTGTCCTAAACAAGCCAGCTGATCCAAACCTCGTTGTTAACTTATATACTATAGCATCTCTTCCGAACTTCGAGGGACTTCCTCCTGTCAAGGGGACGCCACAAGGCTGTGCATGGGGCATCTTCGACAAAGGCGACAAGAAAGATGTTCTGGGCAGCTTAACTCACTCACCCAAGAAGTCGTCAAGGATGCTGTCGCGGAGGTTCGCAAGGCGTGTCCATTTCTCCAGAGTGAAATGCCCTTCAATGTCTCCAGAACATAATCCCTAATACCACTTGTTGGCCCGTCGGAAGGATCAAAATCCCAGGGTGCTTTTGCAAAAGCCTCTTTCATAATGTCTTGAAGTTGGAAGACCCAGCATCTGGCAGCCACTTTGGGTTTGACGATGAGGTATTGTGCTGTCTGGTCGTTGTCTCTCCCACCAGAGCTAATTAATTCCAGATCGAGTTTAATACCCAAGCCAGAAGTCAATGGGATAGCTTCGGTGCGTCCGAGAACTCTAGCTTTTTGAATAAGAATGACCCCAAACCCAGCTCATTTCATGGACCTCCAAACCGGCCTCACCTACAACGGAGCAAAACCAACGATCGATGCATTTCAGAAACCCGAATCCGTTAAACACCTTCCAACACTAGGTCGTAGAAAATTTCGACCAAACTCGAACCCAATACTTAAAAAGGCTAACGGAGAAAAACGGACTGGCACCGACGCGGTTATGTGACAAGCCGAGGCGTATTAATTGATTTCAAGAGTTACGCGCAGAGCCACGGGATAGGGATAAACCATCACCAGTTCTCCAGTTTCCGCATCGGGCCTACCGAGATAGAAGCAGTGGCTGCCTGGCAGGGGGTAACCTTCCGAGTAGGAGATATCCTCCTCATCCGATTCGGCGTAACAGAGACGCTGGGTCAAATGACTGGCGCCGAGCAGGGCACTGCGATGAGCAGCGGCACGATGTGCGGACTAGAGGGAAGTAAGGAAATGGCGGGCTGGCTATGGGATCGACATTTCGCTGCTATTGCTAGTGATAACATGGCTGTTGAGGCTATGCCACCTATCATCGATGGTGTTGAGCAACATACCCATGAGCTTGTGTTGCATCAGTGGTGTCTTAGTTTGTTGGGTATTCCGCTTGGTGAGCTTTGGGATTTGAAAGCGCTGGCTCATGCTTGTAGGGTTAGTAGGCAGTATTCTTTCTTGCTTAGTTCGTCCCCGCTCAATTTTCCTAGTACTGTCGCTAGCCCTGCTAATGCGCTAGCCATTCTGTGGAGGAGAGGACATATTTTACAACGGAGTAATTGTTGCAATGTCAGTTTGTGGGGTTCAGTACAAACGAACTTTCTGGTTTTTATTAAGGATGTGAAGCCTTGAAGTTCACAGGTACTACTACCCTTGATCTGTTCTGAGTCTGGGAACGGATCGAGTACCCACTTCGGGCTCCACATGGCTCAGCTTCTTGAAAGGTTGTCCTGTGGGCCCCGAGTATTTATAGACGCGTGTAACATCCCGTCTATATCGGGGCTCTGTGCGGTGCGCCATTGGTAATGGTTTACATCTGAAGAATAAAGACTGTTGTCCTGGATAGCATAACACGTTGATTTCGGTATGTCTCTATCCATATTCAAACAAGCATGAAGTCAAAATCAGCTTCCCTTGCAATATCCTGCCACTGTACATCGACGTGCGGCCCAGCCGCTGCCCGCCGGTTCCACAGAGCTTGAACGATTTCACACAATACATTGATACTTTGGATTCCATGCCGACTTTTCCGGTGAAAGAATGCCAACATTCGATCTTGCAGATCATGACGCTCGCAGTCAGCCGCAACCACAAAACTTGCCCAGTTGTACGAACAGCCGCCCTTGTCACGCGTGAGTGCATCGACGGATTCAAGCTCGTGTATTGCTTTCTCAATCAGATCCTGTACGTCGCACAACGGTGCGCCACGCAAACTGCGACGGAAATATACGATCGTCGCGTAGTAGAATGAGTTCAAAGCATGTTGGACGATGATCGAATCCGGAGCGTCTGGGTTGGACAGGGATGGAAAGTTCAAGTAGAGGTGAAGTTCAAGTCGGTCTAGTTCTTCGATGGATAACTGCGTGCGGAACTCAACGAGTGAGGTGATTTGAGCGAGGCATTGGACCAGTGGTGTTGTGACTCCATGCGATCGTTCTAGGTAGTTACGTAAATCGGAAGGGCCATTGAGGAGCGACATGAGCCGCCCAGGCACAGGAAGACTGCATAGTGACGAAAGGGACAAGTAACTTTGAATCAATTTAGCAGCAGTCGGACTTCGAATCCAATCGCCATGGACCTCGTTCTCCAGGAGGCGAAGGCATCCAGAAACGTGTGCTCTCCATCGGCTGCGACGACCGGACATAGCTTCAGCTGTAATACAAGTGAGAACAGCAGCCAATGTTGGCTCATCTAGGCAGCTAGCCAGCTGTAGGCTTCCTCGCAAATGACGCAGAGCCAGCTGGTCATGGTGGACGGCGATGGAGTGATACCGCGAATTGTGGCGAAGGTGAGAAAGACTGAAGGCAGAGGAGGCGCAAATGGCGTGGAAGATTGAGAGATGTATGTTCGGCTTTGTTGGGGAGGCATCGAGGCCTTTCAGGGCCAGAGGCAGGAAAACTGTCCGGCAGGCATTGTCCGGGGTATCGATTAGGAGCATATTTCCGCTGAGAAAAACAACCCAGTGATGGACTAGCTCTGTCTCTAGTCTTGGGAGAATCAATGGAGTCATGGAATCCCAGAGGCAGATCTCAGTCCCGTTGCTGTGAATACTCGATACAGGTCCGCCGAAGTCGCTCTGTCCTAAGGGCCTATCTTGGGGCTTTTTATGATTAGGCACATGAGAAATTGCGTTGATAGAGATGTCATCGACCCGATTGTTAGGTATTGGTAATGCCGGGCATGGTTCTTCGTGGAAGTCAGACATGGACGGTGCGGTAGTAGATGATGAGCCATCCCATGTTGGTTTCGGTGAACCAAACTCGCTATTTGTGTCGCCAACTGATGAGTTAATTAAGTCCAATGAGATATGCTGTGTATCTTCCGCATTTGGGGTTGAAAGTGCATCTTCCAAGTTGGGTAGACTAAGACAGCCTGGATCTTGCGTCTGAGGGCTTGAAGAAACGGAGAACACCGAGAATGGTCCTCGTTGTTGGGCAGAGTCGTCCGCCGAACATCCATCCAGCTCAACCAGCAGCGCGGTGACAGCGGCAGATGACAATCCATGGTCCACATCTGGTAGTGCAGATCGCAACTGGCGCCGGTGAGAGCGGCCCCCGTCAGTTTGAGGCCATCCTAGGCGCAAACCATACCCCTTACACACCCAACCACTGCGCTGGCACCGCCGACAGTGAGGATGTTCCTCATCGCACTTTACTCGACGGTCTCGACAAGTCCAACATCCAGTGAAAGTCTTGGTGCGTTGTTTTGTGACTTTTGCATTATTTGACGATATATCTGGCATTGCCAAGGATCTGGAGAAGGGTGAAAGCTCTGGCGGGTGAAACAAAATTATTCCCCATTTGCCCGCACGTCGGCAATCGCCGGTCCCTGATCGACGCCACATGGGCGCGGAAGTTGGCGGCAAAGATTTTGAATGTACCAAAGATGTTCTCGTGCCAGTAAATGCCTGCGTTTAGGCATATTTATAAAGGGAGAGATGGATTTACATCAAGTCCTGGTAGTTATTTACTGCAACCATGTAATGCAAATGATATATATCCATCAGTGAGCCAACTTTCTCGGAGTATTTATTACTTTTTTACTAGATTGAACTGGTCGGAAAGCTTGATACTAAGGATTTTGCTATGGGTCAGAAGGATATCGCAATGCCTCCTGACTGAGAGTTCTTTCATACCGAAGAACACACCTTCGTCCAATCTCTCCTGTTCGCATGAATTTCCGCTACAGCGCTACGCACGGCAAAATGCAGAGCTCAGCCTTGTGCAGAGCTCCGCGATTATTTTGCTCTTGTTATAAATGTACAGCAAAGGTAAAGATGATCCAGACACGATCCCATCCGAGCAGATGGAGGGAATAGATATCTCGCCCTCGCTCTGGACTTTGGCTATAATTTCCGGACCGGAACGGGAAGAACATCCCCACTGCTTTTGTACATCGAAACTATGCGCATGTAGATGGTGAAGGTGTTATCGCCGTTTGCAATCGGCGATAATGCGCACGCACGAAGCCGCAATGGTATTCCGTCAGGCCACTATCCTTCAGGCTGTATTCCGGGGTTGTCTGATGGGCTATATCAGGCACATCACTTTGATGGATTTCTGCCTGCCGATGACTCTCATCAACTATGTAGATTGACAACATTCGGAAAGTGTTGAACTGGGCAGACTGTGTCGACAGTGGTGATTGGGGGTGAGATTAGCCATTGACCATAGGATGGCATAAACACCCAGAATTGGGAGCCAGAAGAGATATCACGGGTGTTGGACAAATACAGGAAGAAGCTGCACCGGCCGTTAGCCCGAGGCTCACCCTCACAGCTCTCACCCTCACAGCTCTTGTGGCATTGAGATGAATCTCCAAGCCCGCCGAATATTGTTTGATTTGTCGGCTAAATGTCAGTTGGAATGTGAACTTCACTTATTACACCGGGCCAAAGAGTGTGAGAAATTGTCTATTGGAAGTCACTAGCAGCATTAGAATACGTAACTGACAGACACTTGCAAGCGCCATAGCCAATGAGTCGCAGGTATGCAAGAGACTTTTCTATGTACACAGAACAAATACAAAGTACAAACCCAGTTGCACATCCCATTCCCAACCCACGCATAAATGCGAAACATGAAGCTTGAAGCGCCGGAGTGAAGAGACCCACAGGGGGAATAAAAAAATAGTTGTAATACATCGCAGGTGGAAAGACAAAGCAAGGCGGCTAATCGTCAACCGCCAATGTCGTTTAAGTGTGGCGTGGAGGGTATGGAGTATCGGATAACCGAGAAGCGGAATAGGATAAAACTGGCCATGCTAGCACTCTAGAAGAAGGCCTTTCGCGTCACCTGTAGAGTGGCAGTTAGCAAAAGTCACACAAAACATCACAACAATATACATACAGCCCAGGCACCAGCAATGGAAGCCACAATACCGCCAGAGATCATCATAGGCTTAATTCCACGTGTGCTCTTGAAGACCATACCGCTCAATGCGCCGGCCACGATGCTGTTAGACGCATCGTGCTTGCCTCGCACATATCCGAGGCTCGAGTTGAATCCGTTGTAAACCATAGCCACAACACCAGCTGAGTTTCCGAGGAACGGTCCGCGACGGGTAACCGAGTTGAGTACACCATTAAGACGAATTTTCGGTGCTGCCGTAGGTGGTGTCTTCTTCAGTCCTTCTACAAGTCCCCATGCGCCTCCAGTAGCGAGCGCAACGAGATAAGTAGTGCCGGCACCATAACAAAGGTCGTCTGACCATCCACGGGATGGCAACACTGATCGGGAGCCGGGGAGTTCATCGAGGGCGGTGTCGTCGAGGGAGAGGTAGTCGAGGGTATCCTGGTTCAAACCAGCCAGGGGATGGAGGCGAGAAGGATCGGGAATAGCGACCTCGGAGAGGAAGGATGTGGCATCTTGCGCGGTTGAAGGGTCGAAGGCATCGGGCCCGGTTTGCTTGCGGCCGCTGAGGGAGTCCCAGATGGACATTGTGAAAAGAGGTATGGAAAGGTAGAGGATAGAGATAAATACAAGAACCTAAGGAGAACCTTGGAGGACAGGGGTGGATGACTGGAAAAGAAGTGATGACCCTGGGTTCGCAGCTCCACTGGCATCGGAACAGCAAAAACTTCGGTCCCGTGACTTCCGGCGATCTGACGGAGAAGAGTTTGGCCGAAGGAGATACGCTTTACCCGATACGGAATCCCACTTTTATCACCTGGCGGCCTGAGGCATCGCGGGGAGCATAAAAATTAAACGGGGAGTCCTTTCACGAACCATTATCCAAGATACCGAGGGTTGTATAATTGGGGCTCTGACTGTTGATTCAAGTCAGACGCACCGTGTTGTGCCAACCGAAATGGAAGACCTTGTGCAGAGGGTGCAATTGTACTCGGAGAACACTCTCCGAGATATCGCGAAAGGCCCATTGGTGAAATTAACACTGACATGCCAAGACACTGAGTAAGTGGAGTATACGTTCGAATTTATAAGAGAACAAATTGTACTAATATTGCCAAAAGAAAGGTGAACCGGGTATGGCAGTCGTTGGTCCAGACGCTATCGACAGCATCTATCTCGCCACCTCATTCTGCAGAGGCATGCAACGCTGCCTCTGCTTTTATTGATGCTGCCACAAAGTCACAATGTGATACGACTCGACAGTTGATTTTCTCACAAGAAGCGTGGCTGTCAATATTCAATATCTGTTTGACTCGATATGAAGACGCCAAGCCAAAGCCCGTTAAGAAACTTCTCGCCTCAGTTACTGCCATCCTAGCCAAAAGTCACCAAGGAACGACAAGAACAGAACTACAAACTGCAATTATTGATGCCATAATTCCTAGCATTGTGGTTGGGGAGCCTCAATCACGACTGAAGGGGTGCCTGGTGTTTTTGGAGACATTCATCAGAAGGGATGCCCTGCTGCCCAGCGAGTTTATCCCATTGACTCGCCAGTGGCTTTTGAAGAACACAGATAAATGGGCAACTCTCTTCGCCAAAGATCATGAAGCTCTTTCTCTAAAGGAATCAGACCCCGCTTTTAACACTGCATCTGGCAGCCTGTCCGATGAATTAGCAGCAAGGATCTTTGTCCTGGGGCTCTTTATCCAAACCAACAACAGAACCATGGCTGTGCCAGCTGGTAACCTATTGGCAATTTTGATCCAGAAGATGAAGCCTGAAACCTCACCGGAAAAGCTGTCAGCGATGTGGGTAATGCAAGTGAGACGCATGGTCTTACAAAACATAGAATCGTTGGAAGACCTGTCCAATAGGCTCCTGCAGCCTCTATTCACTATTGACTCCAATGGCTTTAAGATCTTCCTTGACACCCTCCCAGTCAAAAACCTTCTCAAAGGTGATATGACCGATGCGCCTGAGGCAGAGTATATGGTACTTTTCGCTGCCCTACAGATCGGCAAGAAAATCAACTTGGTTCATGAAGACTGTGAGTTGCCTTGTCGACCTGCATTCATCGGCAATTTGCTAATATGCGCAGATATTTTTAACGTTGGCAAAATGAAACTCGACGAAAATGAGGTGTTGGTCATGAAGAGCGACGTGATCGGCAACTTTCTCCTGCATCGCGAGGCCAATATCCGTATAGCGGCTCTCTCGCTGCTGATCACGGCATTTTCCACAGTAAAACCATTTACGGTGGGGGCCACGAATGTTATCCTTCGAGGACTACCCTCGATGCATGCTGAATCCGACGCATATACTCGAGGAGAAATTCTGAGTCTGACGCGCAAATTCTTTGTTCGTCTGAGGGGTGGCATTGTTAAAGATGAAGATGTTGCCTTGAAGACAGAGGAAAAAGCCAACAAGCCAGCTCAAGGCCAGGTCAGAAATGAAACTGAAACCACAGAGTTCCTAAAAGCATACCTTAAGCTATTGGGTAATGATTTGCGTCCGGCGGCCTCATATCCGCGCCACATCACGGCTCTCAAAGCTCTGAAGCTTTTGCTGGACTCCGGTCTTGATCCACGGATAGAGGCCAAGCTTCAAAAATCAGAGATGGAAAATATTTGGAAAGTCCATGTCGAAGTGTTTGATTCTCAACTACTCCGGTTGTTGGTTGATCTCTTGCTAGATCCGTTTGAGGAAGTTCGACAAACGGCGCTTTCGATCTTGAGTTTGTGCCCTCGAGAGATTCTGCTCAACGGCTTGCACGGCAAGACAGATCAGCAGTTGGCTGTAGGTATGCGGCTGACGGATGCAATTACCCGAGCGGAAAGCCTCGCAAGTAACACGAGCCGAGCCGATCACGCTGATACTGTTGCTCGTCTATACCACATCATCTTTTGCGCAGCCCTGCCAGCCAACTCTGGTCAACCCGTTTCTGATTGGTGGACAACCAAGGCATCAGTAATCGACACGATTCTGCAAAAGCTTGAGGAGCGTCTCTCAAATTCAAAGACCCTTTTCAACTCCGCTACACGCGAGGCGCCACTTCATGGATATACGTCCGGCCTCAGGTATGTTGTTTTGGTCCGTGCATGAGGTAATATGCTGATTGGAATTCCAGGTATATTGTCCTTATGCCAAGCTTCCATTCGCTGATATCTGACGGGTCGGGATCCACTGCTTGGCGGTCTGTCCATGACCGCATTGTTGCAATTTGCAATAAGATCTGGATTGAGGCAAAGCCCTTGCTGTGTATTGACTCACCAGAAGGTCACTCGGACGAGCCGACCGAGGATCTGAATGTTGGACCTAAGGACGCCCTTTCTTATTCCTGGAGATCTCTTCGCGAAGCAAGGTAAGTTCAAAACTTTTGTTGACTATGCATAATCGCTGACTGGGGTAGCCTTTTGCTCCATGCAACTATGCTAAATACCAGTTACGGACCAAGCGGCAGTGACGGGCTCAATTTGGCGGATTTTGCAAACATTGGAGGTGTGAGCTTCACACAGCTGGCTGAACTGCGCCATAGAGGTGCGTTTTCCAACGTCTCACAGACATTTGCGACATGCTGTCAACGATGCAGCTCCTCAAAAGATCCGTCCATCCGAGAACTTCCTAGGAACTGGTACCAGGAGGCTAAGTCGACTATCTTCGGCTCGGCATCTCAACTCACCCGTCGGTCCGCTGGCTTGCCTGCATTGGTGACTGGAATTGTTGGCTCTGATCCCGGGACCCCATTCTTCAACCAGGCTATTAATGAACTTCACGATATCTCATCCCTTTCTGTGCAGTATGACAAAGAGAGACAGTACTTGGAACTGCCCCAGGTTCATGCAATGAATTGCCTGAAAGATATCTTCACCAACGCGAAGCTTGGCCCCAATACCGAGCCATTCGTCATGAAAGCATTGACGCTATCCGCCGAACGCCTAGGTTCTCCTATCTGGGCCCTTCGCAATTCAGGACTGATGCTCTTCCGTGCCCTTCTCACAAAAATGTGTCGGGTCATTCCCGGCGCTGGGCCTGGCTTCGGTGGAAGCTCGGGCTCAGAGCCAGGATCTCGGATAACATTCCCCAAGTACCCTGGTCTTCTTGAACTTCTCTCTGGTCTTCTCACAACGACGCAAGGTGAAGCAGCGGAGGGCACTGAAATTATTACCGAACGGGTGTTCCCTGCGCTGGAACTCGTTGGTGACAAAGTCCCCAGCTTGGATGATCCTACTGATGAGATGCTACGCGGATTGGTTCTTGAGCACCTGAGTAGCCCGGTTTGGGGTGTTAGAGAGCATGCAGCCCGTGTATATGCGTCATTGCTCACTCGACAGAATATCCCAGAGGAATTACGGACTCTTGTTACGCTTCCCTCAAAAATCACCGAAAATTATGTTCATGGTGTTGCTTTGTGTGTACGATATGCCCTTCGTCGATACTCCTTCACCACTGATGATTTCTGGACATGTGAGTGCACTGAATAATCCCCATTAGTACTCGAGCTAACATTCTGGCAGCGAACATTGACGTACTTTTCACTACATTGCGCACTGTACTAGAATTCCTGTTCCGTGTTGGAAAATCGCCGACCGTGGCAAGTGAGCTTGTTGAAATTCTCAACGGCACGCTGGGACGGGCGATCCAAGCGCAGAATGAAAGTACGTGGATATTCATCTGTTCATATGAACAAAGAAAACACGTAATCTAACCGATCTATAGAGCAAGTTATTTCCTTTATCAACGAGATGTTCGAGGTTCACGACCTCGATGGGATTTTGAGATTTGTTTTTGACGCTTCTCAGGCGGGATGGAACCTCTCAAGTACCAACCGAGCATCTGCCCTCCTTAGAAGAGCACTTGCCTGGTGTACAACTTTGAAAATGCTTGCCTCGCAGCAGTGGAAACAGCTCCCACCATTCTTCATTGGAGTATCGCAATTCGATGCGGATGCCGCTCGGTGGATACTGGAACAGCTCCACGAGTCAGTTAGCGAAGATGAGAGGTACAGACAGCCATTGGCTGACTTGTATTCATCTGTGATTTTGGGAGATAGTCGACCCGATGTGAAAACAATGGCTGCGTCCAATTTGGCTTCTATTGTGGAGAACTTATTACAATCACAGTTCGATTCTGTGTCACGAATCGGTCTTCCATGGGATGCTATTGCAAATAGCTTCCGGCCCGAAACAGATATCACAACCTGGAACCGAGAGGCAACAGATGCTGAGCTCCGACTTCGAGGCTGTCTACTGGCCATTCGGTCGTCTGTTGATCAGACAGCTTCGTCCTCATTTGAAGGCGATATCCACAGCTGGACTATCAAGCTTCGCTCTGCCTTGAGCGAGGAGACGGTGAGTTTTATCAAGTTATTCGTCCTATAGTCGAGTCACTCTGATCGTTTCCGTTTCCTAGGAATTCACAACCCGTTTTGCTGCAGCCGTATCCGTTCGCAGCTTTTCACGGGCTCTTAGATCACCTGGTTCCCAGCCACGCGTGGATGGGGTGCTACTAGATGTCTATCTAGTCTTGTATGATATGCTCAATGATGACGACGATGAAATTCGTGATGTGGCTGCATCAGCTGCCTCTTGGGTTTTGTCACACTCGTCCGTCTCATCTGACGCCGATGTGACCCTCGCGCCTCTTAATGCAAGTGCCCTGCTTGCCGACTTCACCGTCGATAACTATTCCGATTCCGCACTGCTCGGGCAACGGGTTCTTCGATATTTGACTGGCCAAGAGCCAAGGGTCAGTGGATCCGACCAACGCAGTCACCTAGTCGCTGTGTCAGACCAGATCGCAGAGCATCGCCAAGATAGTACAGTCCTCTTCGTGGAGGAGAAACAGAATCTGTTTATCGATGATGTGCGTGAGGCCGAGGTTTGGTCGCGAGCGCTGTTGCGGTTGACTCCCTCGGCGTACGCTAAGCTCTCGTTGGATGAAACTTCTGCCTGGGCTTTCGACGGGTTAATATATCTCTGTTCTCTGGTTGGCTCTGAGAAAGAGCCAGATGGACTTCTGGGTTGGGTCTCGAAGCCCGAGATCTTCACCCTAGGTCTCCGGGTTATTGTCATATCGTCTGCTCTAGGCTCACGAGACTTCCCAGTACAAGAGAGCCTGCGAGTCCAACCAACTGCCTTCCGGGGATCGCTCGAGTCCCTTTTGGCCGCAGGCAAATCATCATCAGTCCATGGGGACTGGTTGTCAAGAATCCAGGCTGCATTGGAAATGTGAGCTACATATAATGTGAATTGAAAGTGAAAAGGAGATAAGCACGTATATACATTAGATAGAATATTGAAGAACCTCTTGTTTGCCATGTTTGCGAGTCTGCTCCTTCCCCATTTTCTCGCTTTGCCTTGTCATGTCATGTCTTTCCTCTTTCGTCTCTTCGCCTTCACTTGATATCGATATCATATTTCAGGCCTTCGATCAATCCCCGCACCCTTGACACTCTTCACCCTCTTCATATTCTTCATTCTCTTCATTCTCTTACACTCTGCGCTACTTTACCATTATCCGACGCATATCTTCACTTCCAGCACTCCTCCAAACTCACCACTTTGGATCACTCCTTCACCACCATATTGCACCATGCAGGACAATATTCTGGTCGCGGTCCTTCTGGCGGTGACGTTCGTCACCCCAGCCTTCGCATGGTTGTTCTACCTTTGGTATCGATCACATGTGGCCCAAATGCACCGGGAAGGACAAATCTTCAACGGAAGGAACCGAGATCGTGCCCAGGCCAACTATGAGCCCGCCAACGCAGCCCAATACCCCATGTTTGGACCCTACTTCACCCCTCGCGGGTGGGTTCGACCAAAGACCCGAGGACTATCCCATGTCCTGCGTCCGCCACAGTATGTTCATACCCGGCAGCCCGTATTTACCGGTAACCCGAATTCTGACCAACATTCCCAAGGCCCAAACCAAGCGAGCACGCATAGTCCTCAGCGGGCGAACCAGCAGCCGAACCCATTATCCAAGCGGCAGCAAAGGAAACAACGAGCGCTACAAAACAAACAAAGGCAGCAGCAGCAAAGTCAGAATGAGCCACCGAACAAGCAGAACCGACAAAACCAGCGCAAACAGAAATGCAAGAACCAAGGCCAGAACCGTCAGAAGTCCCCCAATGTCCATTCCCTCAATGCCCAGGGTGCCCAAGACGAACAATATCATCAATGGGGAAATACAGAAGGCCAAAATGACCATACCAGCAACCATGGTGGTGGAGGTGGCTGGGGAAATGATGAAAGCCCACAGGATAATCAACACAGTGCTGGGCAGAACGAGAATGACAACGGTTGGGGTAGCAATTTCAACAATGACCAAGGGGGGCTGAAAAATAGTGGATCATGTTCCCCACGACGAGGCTCACGAGACAATCACAATAGCCCACAGGAAAAGAGCGCTCAATGGGGGAATCAACATCATGATGATCACACACGCAGTGACGGGAGAGGGGGAAGTAATAAACAGCAGCACCATCACAATGGATGGTCCAACAGTCGCCCTGCGTCCCCAGATCAAGTGTCAATAAACGAAGCGGATTTCGGGGGTGGCTGGGGTCAGAGTAACCATGGTGGACAGGAAACTAGCTATCCACGGAGCAATCATTCCAACGAAGACCATAACCGTTACGGTGGATGGGGAGATGATGATACGAAGAGTTACAAGAAAAACAAAGGCAACCGTCATGCGTCCCCAGAGCGAAAGTCAAGAAACGAAGCAGACACCGGCGGTGGTTGGGGGCAGAGTTGCAGCGGCACACGGCGAAATAGCACGTCATGGAGCGACCATCCCAACGAAGACCATAACCGCTACTATGGATGGGGAGACGATGATACAAAAGGTTACAAGAAAAGAAAAGGTAGCCGCTACGCGTCCTCGGAGCGAAAGTCAAGAGGCCGATCAAGCCCCAACCGTGACTGGGGCAACTCCTGGGGACATGCAGAAGGACACCGTGGTGGTAGCAGTCCAACTTGGGGGCAAGATGGCAATGTGCACCGAGAAAAAAAGAAGAAAAAGGAGCGCTGGCAGATTGAATTGGAGGAGAATGCGAAGAGGCGTCGTAGTCGAAGCCCCTCGCAGGAACGCTCGGATGCTGGATGGGACAAGCGCAGCCAGCGTTCCGGCTGGAAAGAGATACAGAAATGGTGAATTCAGATTTTTTTTTGCGTGGATTGGAGGGGAGTTTTCCACTTATTATGAATTTGCGTCCATCCACACATGTTACACGTGTAGTCGATGATTCTTTTATCACTGTGTTTTACCACGATCTCTATCTTATAGGAGAATTAAAGACTTCACAACGTAAAGATGAGCATTTGCAATTATACATGTATACACATGGCTAAGTCAACAAAGAGAATCACTAGCCAATACTTCACGTGGCCAAGACTTAGGGCTATCCAACAAAGAATCCCTTCAGTCTTATATTTCTGGCATCGTCCGCTCCACTTTTTCCTTTACACTTGCTATCCCGCATATCTGCCATGGAGATCAACAGATACCTCGAACGTTGACATAACCGATTTGAAGGATAATCCTCTTCTTTTCACAGAGGAAGGGATTCACAGGTATTGTCGGGGTGGGTTTCACCCTGTCAGTCTCGGGGATAAATTCCACAATGGCCAGTACACAGTGCACCATAAGTTAGGCTTTGGTGAATCGTGCACAGTGTGGCTTGCAAAGGATAACCAGTATGATACTTCTTCTCCTCAAAATACACACAGAAGCTAACATCCTCAAGACCAAGCAATGTGTGGCATCGTCATGGTCCATGGGTCGCTTTGAAGATATTGGCCGCACGCATCAAGGAGCGGAGGGAAATTCGAAACCTGCGATATTTGAAAGAAAAGACAAACTATTTCACTCAAAATCACAATATTGTTGGCTTTCTTGACACCTTTCTGATCATAGGTCCGAATGGGACGCATCATTGCTTGGTATTTTCAAGTTTTGGTCCCACCATTGAATTGATTCAACAGTTCTTTATTGACTTCAACAACTACGGTGATTATCTCGAATTTGGTGACACTGAGTTCAGTAACTCGGCTCATTGTCTCGAAATGGGACCTTCTAGTATATATCAAATCGCTATGAACGGTTTGTTCGCTGTGGAACTGATGCCACGCTTGGAAATGTGTCACGGAGGTGAGTTTGGTTTTCCATTAATCGTCTCGACTCCAGTGAAGATTTGAGGTATATTGGCATGTTGCTTACATCCCAGTAGGTATCAGTGGTTCACACATTATCATCGATTATAACTCCAGGTTACACTTCACCTCTATAGGAGAATGCTTTGAGATTCTCGGATCGCCGCAGGCGGTCCCGCTAGAGCACCGTGACGGAATGCCCCTGGGTTACGGGCTTCCAGAAGAGCTGATACAAACTGCCAAATGGCCAGGATATGTCGAGAGCATTTCGGATAGCGCCCGTCTCATTGGCTTTGGAAAGAGTTTCCTCCGCAGAGAGGGACCTGATAACCTCAAGCAACCAGTCCATCTTCGATGCCCCGAGTCTATCATGGGGGACGAGGTTGACTATCGCCTTTATTTGTGGCATACAGGGTGTTTTGTACCTCTTCATCAATAACTGGAGCCCAAATGACTTCTACTAAACTATATGCGATAGCTATATCAACTGGGAACGATGGAGCCTCCGTTCCCTACCCCACTCAACGATTATGAATACATAAGGAGCATTGTTGGGTTTGTGGAAGGCTTACCAATGGAGTGGGAGTCAAAGCTAGACGAAGTACGATTGATTTCCGAACAGACCTTTGCACTGGAACAAGCCCCGGCCACAAAAAAACAAGGAACAGAGCTACAGCTACTAAGGACACCCAAGCAGAAGGCCCAACCTCAGCAAATGTTGTGGCGTCAGCTCAAGAGGGTCCCGCAGGGGAAGAATACCTAGCCAAAAGCGGATCAATCCAAGGTCAGCACATTAGTTCTACTTCACGATCACTATTAATACTACCTTTAGTACCGCGCCTAAGGGACGGTTTTGCCAGAAAGATAAATAATTTTGCTGCCGATAATTGACTGGCTGCTATGATTTCGACCGTGTGATCGCTTGCCACTCCATGCGCAAATAATGCCAACGGATTCATGGAGACGGGCATTCATAGGTGATTATCCACTGAAATTCCAACCACAACACGAACAAGAGCTTCCAAATAGCAATCCACAACCGCGTCTTGAGATAACTGAGGTTCAGGAGACCCCTGAGCGGCCGCATTTTGAGCCCCCGGAAGGTGCTTCAAACAATTATAAGCACCAACGGCTGTTCCCTCATCTGGTACAACCAGAGGCCCCAGAAAGGACACCCGAGTCACTTGCCAATCATGGACTACAGCAGCCGCAGGTCTCGGAAGTTTGTCAAAGCGCTTAGCAAGCCCAGTCCGAGGTGCAAACAGGGACATCGGACCTACTGAGCGATCATTATGAGCATCAGTCAGCTTCACCCGAAATCTCTAAGGATGTTGAAGAAGACAAGCTGGAGGTAGCGGATGCTTGTCGAAACGCCAATAACGCCCAGTCAGAGGTGCAAGCAGGAACATTGGGCCTGTTGAGTGATAATCATGAGCACCAGCCGGCGTCGCCTGATATCTCTAAGAACCTTGGACAAGAACAACTGGAAGTAGCGGATGGGAAACCAGACCTACTCCACAACCAGGTGGAACCGCAGCCAGAGCCAGAGATTCCCGATAGTTCGAAGCGACCACAGCTAGAGACTACGGAGGATGCAGCGGCATCCTCGGAGGACAGTCAGCAACAAGAGCCCGCAAGTCGGAAGAGACTACGTTCACGTCTAGAAGGGTTGCTAAATCATCGATGGCGGCCATGGAAGAGCGCCGGAACTCTTAGGGTATCTTGTGCAGAAAAATATGAAGTCGGAGGAAATATAGGAAGAACCTCCGTGTGAGGTGGAAATAGGAGGTGTCGGCTGATGAGTATGGGCTCGGTTAGTTATAGGATTTTTGTCTTACGTACGTATGTACTTTTGGTTTTAGATTGGAACGACGCATATCAATTCACTTTCGTTCTTTCGATTTGCATCCATTTCCAACTTTGGAGGAGTATATAATAAGCCCATGTAGCATATTTACCTAAACTGAGAGCCTCATTAAGACTATACTCTATTAGCTCCATACTTACCACATTGGAGCATATTTTCTTCGACTTGTTTAAATATGACAAAATACAGTGAGATTCTATTCACTTTCACAGAAACATATGTATTGGTAAGGTAAATCACAATGGACAAACACAACCATCAAATATACCAAGATTAAAGAGTTGTATATCCAGAACCTGTACGCCACATAATGCAGACAGAACTTTGAACAGAACGGGTAATGCGTATAAGTAATGGAGTCGCGAGAGGCGGATGAAAAGAGGCGCATCGGCGCAAAAGAGATGACGACGCGACTATGTCAAGTATGTTCGCAAGCAAGAACGCAGAGATGTGCAGAATTCGAGGTCCATTCTTGAAAGAGAAGGGATGAGTTGAACGCGGATGCAAAATGGGGCGGAGTTTGGTCGAGATTAATTTCGGAGGTCTATCGAGGCGAAACGGAAAGTCGTGGATAGAGAAATGAATGACGTGCGAAAGGGAGATCAGGCCTGAGCGATGGGCCATCCGTCAACATATTTGAGAGGATTGAATCCAAGGAAGGCGTCCTGCGGTTGCATGTGTTAGATCAGATCTTGATGACGTTCACGCGTATGGTCCAAGGGGTAACGAAGGAGGATCGACAGGGGCGCAGGAACCACGACAATCGTGGCCCACAAGCCTGCCAATAACTAAGTGTGAGCTTACCTGGAATGCAATGCCAACGCTCGTGTTCACTGTAATAAGGTCAGAATGAAGTTCGGAAATAGGGGTCTAGGGGTAAACGCACAGTAGTGGTAGTAGAGCACATCGGTATCGCCGTCACGGAGCACGGCTTGCCCGCCTGGGGCATAGGTCTCCCCGTTCGAGCCGTAGACAAGTTCACCGCCACCTTTGACGAGATCCTTGCCGGACTTGTCTGTGAATGGCCCACGGGGACTCTGAGAACGTCCGACACGGATGGAATATCTGAAGTATGTGAGTATGCAGCAACAAGTCACTGGATCAGCGAGACTTACTCTTGACCAGCGGGCGGCAGATTGTCTTCCTTCAGGTTACAGCAGAATCCATGGCTAAACCAGAGATAGTACCATCCATCGTTGTGGGAGATGTAAGCACCCTCAATGGGATGGGGACCGCTCGGGTCACCGCAGATGTTGTTGGCCATGCGATTCGGCATGCCGAGGGAGTCCGGCTCCCACGCCAGCTGACGCTCATCTGGTTTGGTCGTGCTGGCTGGGGAGAGGAGGTCGTTGCTCAGCGGAATTTGGAAAATTCCGTTCCAGTAGCTTCCATAAGTCAAGTAAGCGTGTCCATCGGGAGTGACCAATGTGCTGGGGTCAATTGCATTTGACTTGGTGTAAGGATAGATGTCCGATCCATTGCCCGTGCCAGTCTCGATGACAGCGCCATGGTCATACCAGTTGCCCGGATCCGGAGAGTTAGAGGTGGCCACGCCAATAGCGCTGTCACGGCAACCGGCCTTACTAACACTGTAATAGCAATAGTATGTGCCATCGACAACGATGACGTCTGGGGCCCAGGGCACGGCACGATCACCCTTCGGGATCACACTCTTGGCATCCAGCACACTTCCGACATGCTTCCACGGGCCGGCCATACTTGGCGCTGTGTGGATGAAGATGTGTTCGCCGACATGATAAAGATAATATTCATCGCCCACACGGAGAATACTAGGATCATGTGTATGTTGCTGTGTTTGACGAGAAGGAGGAAAGCGGCTTATAGCCTGGTCATTGCCGAGATCTTGCAGCTTCTGGCCATTTGCAAAGTTCTGGTCTCTTTTGATTCTCAGGCCCAGACCGACAGAGAAGAAACATACTAAGGCGAGGAGGGGAAGCATCTTAACCCAGCGTCGAGGGAATTTCCAAAAAGACCGATGTCGAAATTCATCGTGACGGCCAGCCGGCGGCATTGACCGTGATAAGTGACCGGCCCTGACGATCATCTTGATGGATCCAGGCACTCATCGTTTTCGGTCGACGCACGGCGGTTGTCACCCTAGTAGGGTGGAGCTGGCGAGGCAGGACACAGAGGGGTGAAGGAACTGCGACACGGTCCACTGGTTACTCAATCGAGGCCCACAATCGGACATGCATGCAGGGTCTTCGGAATGCCCAGAGAGAATAAGCTGTGCGGGAGATACAGATGGGTACTTCGTCTTGGCGTGATGGAAGCGGAAGGATTCGTGGAAGGATTCGTGGCACAAACGATAGATCACTGTCAAACCGAACTACAACAGTAAATCCTAGACAATTGAGCTCCGAGATAGTTGCACACCGTTACTTTGTACATAAGTTAGTGAACCTGACAAGCAAGGGAGATGTCTGACTTTTGAAATCGATCGGTTGCAGTGTCGATCTCCCTTTCCTTCAAGTCACGGGAAGTGCTGGGTCTACATGACATGTTCGGAATGTGCCCTTTACCTTGCAAATATATCAATTCTCCAAGATGAAAACAGTTATAAACACGTCTAGGAGCTGGCCCTTTTCTCGTCTTTTTTGAAACCTTTCCAACAATATAGCCCTGTAGGCTTACAGGGTACCAAGGCACAGGTAAGGCAAAGCCCTGTCCCTCCCCCTGAAGGCTACTACTTTCTATCAAGAATGGCCTAGACTGAGAGAATCGGATATATCGGGTTTTCATTGTCAGCGAGGTCCAGAGTAGTGACAATTAAAAAAAAAAAACGAAAAAAAGTAAAAAAATATCCACCGAACGCCAGCGCCGACCTCCATCAGGCTGAAGATGGTCTTCTATCGAGCCACGATCTTGTCCACTTCATCTTTGGCTTCGGTCCATGTCTCAAGGTTCTTGCGAGCCCAGTCCAAGTGGCAACGAGCATATGCGACCTAGAAATTCATGCTTAGTCCGAGTCTTAAATCATTAGGTTGGCATTCATACCATGTATCGTCGCAGGTCAGCTTCTTTGTCCTTCTGGAAGCGCTTGAGATCATGCAGCACGCCCGCGCTCGCATCCTTGACGTCCTTTTCGGAAACTTCTAACGCTTGCTCCAACTAAAAATCGAAATTAGCTTTAGAACTATCTGAAACATACTCCACTGTCCACATACCTGAATCAGACTTTCTTTGGTCTTGCCGATCTGGTCCCGACGTGTTCGTTCAGGATCTACATCCGCGAACCCGTGGATAGCATGGCTGATGCGACCGAAGATTTTGTTCGCCACAAAGGTCCCGCTGGATGACTTCCGATGAGCGGGAGGGCCTGGTACTGACGGGTCAGACCTCTTAAGTCCTCCGATCTGTGATGCAGGCGGAGAGGTCATGGAATCGTCGTGAGTATATGGGAAGCCTGAGTCAGCTGACATGGCAGGACCGTTGCCCCCTTCGCTGCTGATGGCGGATGAGGTTGACAGAGAACGAGGCTTCGTTGTTCCAGATTGAGGGCTGGTGCGGTTGAGATACTGCTCGATGCGCTTGGCTTCGAGTTCACTGCGCTCAAGGGAGTCTAGTAGGGATTTTTTCTTCGACAACTCATCGCGAGTCATTTCTTGCTGTACCCGCTTGAGCACTCTGTATCGTAGAACTCCGCGAACCACACTGGCAAACTGAGCACTCTCCCGCATAGGTTCCGCAAAACTTGCGCTTAAAGCTGAGGATAGTTCTTCAGTTTCAATATAAGAAGTATCCGCGGCCTGGCCGATCCGCTCGATGGCAGCAGCCACTGTTGGTGACTGCTCAGAAAGAGAGAATCCGTTGTAACGCGCTCCCAACTCCATGAGGTCGGCTGAGAGCCCAGACAAATGCGAGAGGGTTCGTCGATTGACTTTCTCAATGTTACCCTGCAAAAGTAGTTCTAGCTCCCGCGTAGACGCTTCAAAATTAATAAAGTAAGGATCCAGTTCCTGCTCGCTAAGCTTGCGTGACTCAGGAGGGAACCGCCCGAGGATCTCAGGTCCTGGAAACGAGAGCGGCTCTTGTTCATTCGGTGACGTTGGCGACGCTGCGTTTCCGCCAGCTATGGTAGTCCCACTGCTGGGCTTGAGTTTTGCGGATGTAGACGGAATCGGGAGCCAGCCATGGGCTGGTGTGGGGTTTGCGGGGTCAAGAGGTGGCGCTTTGAGGTTATTCTTTGGGACCGATGATGCGGGATGGGAGCTCAAAACCTCACTCTGAGCAAAATGTTAGTTAATAAACTCGTAACCAGGAACATCCAGGTCGAACCCACCCAGCTAACGTTGGGATCGAGGAATCTCCACCACACTCCATCCTCGCGGATCTCCTTCATACGCCTACAGCGGTTGAGGAACACACTGAGCATCCTTTTTCGGAGATCTATAATGGCCATGTCATCTTTAGCTCTGGTGGGTTTGGCTGCATAGTCCGCCATGCTATGCTTCTCGGGAATCGGCGGAACGACCAAGGTGGGATGCAAATTGACAAGGGTTTGTCGCAATGATGCGAACTCGGAATATCGACGGCGAACTTCCAGGTCCTATCGCCACTCAGCAATGTACAGTTATCCGCCGGGCACCACTCTCATACCGCAGTCCGAATTGTATAAACAATAAAGCTACCGCCGCCCTCATGATTTTTCCCGGCATCCGTGATCAAGATTGGCATCTCGGGATTTTCATAAAGGATCTGTTCAATCCGGCTGTCATAGACGCTCTTCCGAGGGTATTGTTGACTAGCGGCACCATACTCGGCCTCATCCTCGGGATCGCTGAGGTCTTCAGGATGGGTGATGTAGTCGGGAGGCTCGCCGTTGAAGTCACGGCTAGATGGAGGGGTTGAGTCAGGTTCGTAGAGAGCTAGCTGCTGTGAGATACTGATCCAAAGGCAGAAACGTTAGGGTGGGAACCGAGCGGAGATCTTACGGGGAGAGAGTGCGGCTGAGTGTAGAGAGTCGGATAGGCCAGACTGATGTTGGTCAAAGGCCCCGTAGGGATTGTTATCTTCGTCGTTCCACATTACGAAGGTATGGAGGCTTTGACAAGGCGAACTAGCACCGGAAACTGAGTTGGAGAAACTGTGCCTGGGGGATCTGCGGGGGGGGAAGTCGTGGTGTGGCTGGTGCAGGGCGGTGTTCGCGATTACGTCATGAAGAGGCTTGAACTTCAATCTTCATGGATAGAATATGGGTACGAAATGGACAGCTGATGAAGACTTAAAAATCGATAATGTCTTTCATCCCAGAATAGAATGGCTGCAATCGTTCCAACTTGAACCCCAGGTTTCCCGCTCGCAACGTTATCGAACGGCGATCTAAAAGCGGCCGATGCATATATAGATGCAGCCCTAAACTACTACATTAAGATATTTCTCTCATTGCGGGCTCGTCGAGCTTAGTATACCCCAAACCAAGGAAGATACTCTAACAACGAGGATTCTGGAATAATCTTCATTAGAGAGTAATCAATTAACAAACACGTGATGTATGCCGAAGGTCTCACGTATGGCAAAAGGCTCAAAATAGAGCCTCGAATGCGAACATTTGCAAGGTCCTAGAACTCGTAACCGGTTTCGAAATATCCCAAAGCCCCAGACATTGTTCCAGCTTGCCCTGAACAAGCATCAAAGTCCACAAACATTTCTCCTTCTATGAAATGACCCTCATATGCCATACCTCGGTGTTTCGGCGCCTGTGTCTCATTCCCGATCGACATCCCGTGAGCCTTCAGCGTCGCGTGCATTTCGTCTCGCCCGCTCTGCATTGCGCATAGCCGAAAAGGCCGGGTCCATTCCATTAAATGAGCTCTGAGCACGTCGTAGAGTTGGGTGGGGAGGCAGGGAGGGAGACTGGGGAGATTGCGGAACAGAGAGCGAGAAGATCCGGCGAACAGGCTCGTCAGCGAAGGAAGTAGGGCTGTGGTCGAAGCCAGATCTATCTCTCAAACCATGGGCCCCACTGATGGTAGATGAACGGTTTACGCGACGAGTTCGCAACTCCTGGGGGTTGGGCACATTGGCGTTGGGTCGGTTCTGGCGGCGTTGACGTAGGTTTAGAGGAAACTCGTTGACGGACCCCGTAGCAGAAGTGAGAGCCTCAGATTCAAGCTCGTCTATCCTGAAGTGGCGCTCAACTGGTTGGTCCGAAATGTCACTTCCAGGGCCCAGGACAAAGTTGGGAGCAGTGGTACGGGCGAGGATGACTCCAGTAGGAGCATCTGTAGAAGATGAGTTGCGGCGAGAGGCTTGAGCTGAAATATGGGTAGAGTGCAGACTGGGACCGAGGTCAAGGACGCTGATCTCACTCTCGCTCAGGACTGCAGCACGGGATCGCACTGAGGTTCGCGTCGAGTTTGGGACGGTGGGACCAGGTTCTCCATTGGAACTCAAGTCTTGAGTTGAGACGGAGGTCACACGTTGAGGAGACATCTTATTTGCTGGATTAGACTTGGGTGTTGTGGACTCCAATATTTTGAGACGCAAGGCCTCAAGCCTCAGAAGCTCGAGTTGGTCACTGGTGCTTTGGAAAGCCAAGTGCCTATGGGCGTGCTCGGAGTTGATATCTGCAATCATAGATCTGGCACTGGCAGAGCTGACGTTGATAGCCTCTGGACACAATCCAGATAGCTGAGGATTGAGTTGGCGTGGCTCATGTCTGAAGAGTCCCCGGCGTTTTGGAGAAGGTGCGGTGCGTTTCATTTCTGGGATAAGTGCGTGGATGTATGGAGGTCGTGTGATGAAATTGAGAGGAGCGTGGCAATGGAGACGCCAGTTGCACGGAGGGGAATACTCGCACGCACCTAGCCCTAATATGGAAGGAGGGACTCTGCAGGCTGGCACCTTCGTTCCTCAGGCCACATAATCCCCTTTTCTCTACATCGCCATGTAAAGATCATACACATTATCTCCTTCATACTACACGTATGTATGCTTTCTATATGGAGTTAATAAATGGAGGATTCCCTTAGTCCAGACCACTAGGTGACTTTTGGCTACCGCGTATTTTGATAGGTGAGTTAATATAAAACATTTTGAAAAAAGGTCATGTGCTAGATTTAACGCAAATAATTCTAAGGATGTTATAGACGCTTGTCAATCATTAATTGGCTACACAAGCACTTGTACAACCTATGGAATTTCACTCCAATTAACACTAGCATATATGCCGCACCCAATCACCATAGCTCCAAGGAAATCAATGTTCAGCGTCCTGCCTAGTGCAGTACGTGCTGCCAGAACCTTGGGAGACTGCAGGAAGAATTATCTGCATATGTATGTAAGTTATAGGTGAGTCTTGATATCGCTTAGTACTGAAACACTGTTTACGAAGCAAGTCGTAGGGACCTTGAAACAACTATTTCTATGTTCGGATCAACTTAGGGTCCTTGAACAGTCTCAGATAGTGAATTGGACTGCTATATGTGCACAAGAATGGGAGAACAATGAACAAAACCAGTAAACTATACAGAACGAGGTCACCTTATATGGACGCACATTGCTAGCAGCCGCTGCCGACGAGGACTGAGTGTATAAGAGCCATAGCCCGGGCATGTTTAGTATAACCTGGTGCGAAATAGGCGAGGTCGTTGTCAGCCTACTTGTTATATCTATAAGACCTCGACGAGGTGGTTGAGTGATGAAGAAGTGATAGAGTGAAGCCTTACTTCTCTACGACATTCACTAGACCTTTACATTAGCCTGAGTCTGGCCTTACTCTTACTTTCCTTTGAAAATACGATTGGAATTAAAACAAGAAACATATTTTTATTTTGTAGGGGCCACCTGCCCATCCCCCCTCCCTCTATGTAGAAAAACACCGCCCTTCCCCCCACCCCCTTTCCTTTTCCTTTTTATTTTTATTTTTTATTTTTTTTGTTCATATTATTTATGGGTCCGAGGACATCATGTCCTCGGACCCCACACGCAGCTCCACGACTGGGAGATCATCGGAGGAATCCTCCCCCTCACCCCCAGAAGTGAGACCAAACTGAAACTGAGGGTCGATGTCCATGGCATCACCCCATGGACATCGACCCTCAAAGACGCCATGTTCGGTCGCAGCGTTACCACCGGTAATCTGTGAGATGTCGTGAGCGGCGTCGAACGACCAAGAGGGTTCCGTGAGCTTGCTGAGGGAGTCGACCTGCGATCCCCCGTTTTCGTGCTCGAAGCCGATTTTCTTACCTTCGCTGCCACCGTCTTCGGAGCCCGAAGTACTCTCCCCGGCAGAAGAGTACAGGTCATTGCCGAGGGAGTCTTGCCCCCGGCTCACTCGGGGTGCCACCCCTGCCCCGGCCAAGGCAGAGTCCTTGCGGGGTGCGCCGCCGAGGACACGACCGCCGTCCTCAGAAAGTGATTGGGAACCACCGGGGCTGCGGGAGCCGGAGGAACTGCCAGAAACACTGGCCTCGCGGTTCCGGTAGCCTTCAACCAGCTCCCGCAGCTCCCGGTTGCCCAATGCACGGTCGGAGCGACGGCGGTAGAACAGGAGGTAGGCACCCGACGTGATGATCGACTGCATGTTTGTAACAGTCGTCGCAGAGGTATCTGAAATTTATGTCAGTAAGACCCTCCAATTAGCATATCGGTGGGGGGGCATCGGACCGTTGCAGTAGACCCAGGCACCAGACACAAAGTCCTTGATGTAGGCAGTGTAGTGACCACCACCCATTCCACCCATGTGGTTATCGACAGCAATCAAATCGTACACCGCACTCTTTCCGTCCATGGGGCCTTCCACTCGGCTGCTCAGATCCAGTCCCTCGAAGGGGAAGTCGATGACAGTGCTGATCTTGTGTCCGTTCCTGCCGCGGAATTGACTAAACCGCTTGAGCTGAACGACCATAATATCCGGGGTTCTCCACAGCTCAAACTTCTTGGTGGCCGAAACGTGGGTCTTGCACTGAGGACAAAACCAGCTGTCTGCCCGAGAAAGAATTTCCTCCTTGCTGAACTCGTCCAGACATTGGTCGAGAGAGGCATTTCCTTGCTTCGGCTTCTTCTGGCTTACCGTCATGGTGTGATCAAACACATTTCTGATGTTCATGTAGGTAGGGCGACCACGGAGCTCCTCGGAGTCATGTGGCTTGCCGCCGAAAAGCGAATCAAAGGCACCAGGAGTCCAGTCAAGCAGGATGGCATCACCTTGGCGAAGGAGCGATGGTGCTGGGTTTGGTGTCACATCTGATTCATCTGTATCGATGTGATCATCCACGTTGTCACCTGCGGAGCTTTTGGATGAAGCATCATCATCGGATCCCTGGCAAAGATTAGCGGGCTTAATCTGAACAGACAAGACCGAATAAACAAACCTTAGTAGAAGTGGGAGGGGGTTGGATGCGAGAGGAAATAGAGGGGTAGTTCTTGGTCGTGGAGATGTTGCGTCCATCAGGAAGAGTGGCATTTGTGCTCATGACAGTTGCATCAAAGAGTGACAACAACTTGGCAGGAATCTTGCCAACAAGAGGATGCTGGGGGGACTTGACAGAGTCAGAGTCAGAGTCCGACTCATCAATGTCCTCTGCAGGCTTGGGCGCTTGCTCAGTTTGCATGGAAATGTCGACGATACTGTCTTCGCCGTCAACAGAAGATGTTTTGATCCGGGAATCTGCTGATCGTGCGTCATCCTCGTTTGTGACCACGGTGTCAGAGTCATCAGTTGCATTGTCGTCGTGGCTGTTTTCTTCAGCAGCTAGAATGTCGTGTGTAGTCATGTTATTGGCCTGAGTCAGGAGCTTGCGGTAAATCGCCTCGAGATCTTGAGTTTCTTCACCAGAAAGACGTATGAAGGAGGGGATTCCGAAAAGTTCACGAGTAGCCTCTCTGTTCCTTCGCGGAACAAGTTTGCGGTGGAAGACGGGTACAAGGACTGCGTCGTCATCGGAGGCAGAGTCAGCGGAATTAGTAGATTCCGGAAGAGGACCAAGATCATAGAACACAATAGTGTCTTCTTGGCTAATGCGTAGACTGCCGAAAGTATCGTCATCGTCGCAAAAGGTTTGCCAGAAGGAATTGTGCAATGTCTCTGCTGCAAAGATTCGTTCCCCATCAATTCCCATCTTTTCGGCAACGAAGTCCTTCCAGACCTTCAGAGTATCGTTTTCATCAAGCCGAACTTTCAGAGATACGGGTGGGCCGTCAAGAGGGTAAAAGATAATCGTTCGATTGATGAGGGTCGGACCCCTTGGGATCGGCACAGTGACCATTGTGAAAGGGTCCATGATGATGCTGGTCTTTTCACAATTGTGGCAAATCAGTGTTGACTTGTACATTCCGGCAAACAGGTCGGTGATAACGGAGGCGTTGCGAGCCTCATAGAGATCCCAACACTTCTTTCCGAAGTCTTCAAGAGCCTTGCGATCGTGTATCATCTCATCAGTGGAATCAGGGATGACCGTGGCTGGCTTGCTGCCAACAATGCGGCTTAGATCTTCCGACAGCGCGTCAAGGAGAAACATCACAAATTCCTGACTGTCATGTTGCTCGTAGCCAGCAAAGTCTTCACGTTGCCGACCAGCGGCAGCACGGAACCGGTAGGGGTTCACAGATCTCGGCTGAGGGTCAGATTTGTAGAGCTCCTGAAGCAAGTTGGCCCATTGCTTGGCAATGGTGCCGCCACATCCCAGGACGTTGGTAGGATTGAGCTCTGGTTTGTACAATCCACCTGCAAGTTAATGTTAGCATCAAAAGACCTCGTTCGCAGTATCGAACGGTAAGACATGTATACTCACTCAGGAAGTAATAAGACAACTCCTCAATGCTTCGGACACATTGCAACGCGGAGTTCATGTAACAAGTGTTGCCAAGGTTTTGCAGTCCCACGATGAGCTGTCGGCCCTTCCGACCACGAGATATGAGTCCCCTGATTGGATCGGGTTGCAGGGTAGGGGCGGACCTTCCACTGGGTTGTGCGCTCTTCAGTGCGACTTTAGCGGCAGATGCTTTGGTAGAAGCATCGTTCTTCGGCTGGTCCACAGGGATACCCAGACTCTTGAGAGTTTTGGCAGAGGCTTCGGACACCCATTCTCCACCTCTGGAGCCGCTGACCTGTTCCTCAAGAATAACACAATTCGCCACGCTGAGACCAGCCATATCCAAGGTCATACGACCGTTGTAGTTTGCATTTTGGGTTTGATCCTTGACATTGTCAAGCAACACCCGGTGGCTTCCCTCTGGAAGATCGAGAAAAGCGTTCAAATCAAAAAGGAGTTTGTCGTTGGGGTTCGAGATCAGAGCCAATGGAGGAGCTGGCGATTGGCTGCGGGAGGCAGCTGGGGTTGCCGAAGCTGATGGAGCGGTGCTAGTAGGAAGCTGAAGAATTTTCCAAACACGTACTTTGGTGGACATATCGATACCAGCCTGTTCTTTGGCATCCTTCAGCCATTTTTGGTAATTTGTCTGGCGACTGGCCAGGATCTTGACAGACTGCTTGACGGTTTGTCTCAAGATTGTCGGTGTGGTACCCGCAGCAGGGTTAGCCAATTTGAAAATGGTGAAAATCGGAGGGTAAGTCTCATATTCGATTTTTTCAGTATCAACAGGTTGGTTGGTGTTGTGAGCGTAGCGAATGATCACAGGTGACTGGTCGGCGAGGCCGTACCACTTCTGGATTAGGTCCCAGCCATGTTGCGGAATTATCGCAAAATCAAGAGCGTCGTGCAAACCAGGGCGCATGGGCACAAAAGTTTCACCAGTTTCGTCTTTGAAGTTGGGCGTGGCCGGGTCGGTGTCGAGCATTATGTTCAGGTTGTTGACGGGACCAATGTCGCCCTCCAACGATCCTTTGTCAGTGTGGTCCGCATGAGCCGTAGTGCGTGCAAGCACCTTCTTCAGCCAAGCCATGGAAACAACAAAGCCCTTTTGTCCCTCTTTCAACGGCGCCGTCATCAGCGCATTCACCTCAGCAACCTGCTCGTCGATCGTAGGAATATCCTCTGATTTGGGCGATGCTGGTCTAGACGGCTCGCCGGCCGAGGATGCGGTCTCAGTCTTGTCATTGCTCGAGGTGGTGGGATTCGTGGATTCATCGTTGGTGCCGTCGCATGTGCGGGGAATAATGTATGTGCGCGTGTTATTGGAGACAGTGCTCACGCCTCCTTCGGGGTCTGAATCGGTAATCTCGGATGCCGGGCGCTTGTCGCCGGGAGAAGGGGATCGTCCATGAGTTGGAGGTGTACCCTCTCGAGTATCGGAGGGCATATCGGAATGGTCGCTGGAGAGGGATAGTCCGGCGGTCGCGGTCGCGGGGGTGAGCGAGCGGCCAGGCGGGCTTCCGGACTGAAACTGCAGATGCGCAGGCACGTAGCGAGGCGGGGACAACGACGAACTCTGGCCACGGGAAGAAGAGGAAGATGTGTGGCGAGAGTGTGGAGGTTCGGAGCGGCCGTGACGTCGAGCCCGAAGGCCTGGACTGGTGCGAGGCTCTGGGGAAACTTTTCGTCTCTTTGGTGAAGACGTCGTGGCGATGAGCTGCGCACCTCGTGTCGCAGCTCGGGGCAACCAGGGGAAAATAGAAGATGGGATCAAAGCAGCACCCTTACTTCCTTTTGGTGGAAGTACAAGGGGATTTGGGTTGTGAACGAATTCGACTGGCAGAAAATCTGAAGTTTAGTAATTTTTTTTTTCCGGAGCGGAAACGAAAAGGGCTATCCACATACAGACGACCAGCGTCTTGTAGATGAAGGCAAAGTTAAACACAATTGGAGAACAAAAAAAGTAAGAGTACAGGGAGAAGAAGATATGAAAAGAAGATTCGAAAGATGTATGGGAAGAGAAGAAAGATAGGAAGTTGGAGCTTCACAGCTCTTATACTTGAAGGTGGACTATTCAGAGTAGTTCGCACAATGGGAGGAACTCGTGAATGGGATTGATTGTCAATAACTATTGTGCTCTTAGGGTTGTCTTTCTAGTTCTGTTCCTATCGTAGTGCTATTGCCATCCTATGGTGCTATTGAGCTATTGTGAACAATGATGTAGGGCACAATGCCGCGCGGGCCCTCACTGTCGTGCACGACTAATCAAACAGGTTAGCCCTAGAGTATCCAAACAAATATGAATTTGCTAGCATACAGTTCAGAAACACAGTTGGAACCATTATTTTCTCAACCAGGTATGGTGAGATAGATACATCAAAAGAAAAAAAGAAAAACAACCTGTAAATCAACGGTCCTCCAGGTAAAGCTTGTACATGTTGTTGTTCTCCGCTCCGGAGAGGAGGAACTCCACATCAGCCCGGTAGGATACAGGGCTGGGGCCATTGCGACCCCACATAATGACAGCATTGAGGTCACCTTCGAATCGCTTGGTGAGGTGGAGACAGTTCTCACAGAGCATCAGTCCACACCCACGGGATTCTTTATCACAGTCAACCACCTCTGCATAGGCATCGACTGGCTGAACCGCCTGGCAAGACCCGAATGCAGGCTCTCGACACAAACTGCACCATTGGTAGGGGGGAGATGGGTAAGAAGGGCCAGCCTTCCCAGTCTTGGGGTCAATCAGAGCTTCATTTGCTTCCTGTAGAAGTATGGAAGCATCAGCGCGTACTTCGTCTTGCGTTGACATAGGCACCGGTAGTAGATCGAGAGTGTCGTGGGAGCATTGTATTATTTTGACTCGATTCCATGTACATGGGACACACATCCGGCTCTGCTCTTTTCCTTCAGCAGTATGGCCATCCTGAAGCTCAACGATGGTGCCGTTACCAAAGATCCAGACCTCTGGGTTACGAGGACCGAGCCCATTGACACCATACGCAAAGTTGTTGCACCAGTTGCAAGGGGGGAATCCTTCCCTGTTATCTGCAAGAAACTGCACAGGATGAACAAGTTCAGTCCATATTCGGTGGGCGTTTGCGGACTGCAAAGCAATAGTATTGGAGACAGTGTCGTGGGTAGGTGACTCAAGGGAGTCAGAAATATAAATCGGTGAGTCCTGTCTCTCCGAGGTGTTCGGGGTGTTCGGGTTGTCATTGTCTGAATCAGGGATTACGATCACCTCATGTGGCTTCGGTCCCTCGACAACGGGGAGCTGTGCGTTGCTCAATGGAGGAGTAGAAAGCTCCGAAGAATCGTTCTTCGCGGCTTTGTTCTCTGGAATCTGGAGATTTGGTTGGATATTTCGGGAACTGAGTTGTTCACTCGGCTTGAATAGCTCAAAGATCTGGATTTCTTGAGTGTCCTGTGGTGAGTTGGAGCGTGCCAGAGAATCGATCTTTGGGGAACTGAGTTGTTCGCTCGGCTTCGACCCCTCAGGGACGTCGAGTGCTGGGGTGCCATGGTCTGAGTTGGAGGTTGCTGGAGAATCAATCTTGGGAGGACTGCTTGGCTCGCTTGGCTCACTTGGTTCAATCGTGGAAAAGAGTGCCAAGGGTCGGTGTCTAGCTGGCCCAGCAACACATTCGAACCCCTGATTTCGGCATGCAAGGCAAGGTTGGGAATGGTCGTAATCAGCGTAGCGATATGAACAAGTATCTTTCTTCCGACCTTTGCAACTCTCGCATAATCGCTTCCATTTGGGTGGGGGGCTCACGACACAAAAGACATCATCGATTTCACATGTTGTGCAAGGATAGGCGAACAGATCTGGGTCAGATGCAAGCGAGCATTCTAGGCCTAGTTCTTGACAGGCAGCGCATTCTCTAATAGGAAGTTCGTTCTCAGCAGGCGAGACATGCCCGGCCGGCTTTGATGCCTCGGCCTCGACCATGGTTGTGTCTTTCTTTCGTGGTGATTCTGACAGCGAGTCCTTGTTGCGGCGTCGAAGGCTGTAGCGTGAATTTGGTGTGTCTGTCTCGGGATTGACGGCCCAGTATCTGTCCCAGCGGTCGGGCTCACTGTGTGAGGGTGTGGAAGGGGCCACAGAGGCTTCTTCTTCCGTGTCTGGGCTCAGTCTTGAACGTAACGTAGAAGTTGGAGACAAACTCTTGGCCTTTTTGTCGGACCGAGGATCTTGGTCACCCTCATGGAAAAGAGATAGCTTGCGCTTGGTCGGTGTTCGCTCGCTGGAAGGCTTGTAGTCTTCATCTTCGTCGTTGTCATGCCACGATGCAACGACAGCGGCACGCTTGCAGGCACGCTCTCGCAAGTGATATGGGCCAGAGAGGTGTGGGAGCATGCAGAAATTGCCCGTGCTACGGTCAAAGAGCTGCTGGGCCTGCACGAGTCTCTCGGGAGAGTATGCCATGGTGAATGGCCGAAGCTGCGGGCTGTGAAGAAGCTGCCATCGCGTTCGGTTAGCAACTGTCAAAGTCGTGACAGTCTCAAGCAGTCAATAATTACATATTGTTCAGATTAAATCAACTGAGGATTTCTGTCACTATGGAAGCGACACATCGGTTCCTTGAAGGACGAAAAGGGGACGTCGCTCATGTGCTGGGAGCTGGCTTGCAATCAATGCAAAGTTACCCTGCGGCGCTTTGGGGATGTGAAAAAAGATGTATGAGGATGGATAGATGTCGGGTGTTCAAGTGAGGGTTGGGAATGTTCAAGCGATGGTGACTAGTAACGCTGATATCAAAGCAATCGATGGGTGGAACTGCCATAAGAAGTGAATTAGAAGTGAAGATGAGATGATACGGATTTAAATACTAAAAGCCCCAGTCCATAGGCAGGAATATGAGAAAGGAATAAATCGATTGAGGTTGTAGATAATAGTATTCAAGTCTCAATAGCAGGAATAATAGAATTCAAGATTGTATTCATGTCTCAATGGGGAACTGCAGAGTGAGAGACAATAGCTTTTGGAACACACAATAATAATACTACAATCAATAGCAATTGTATCAATACAATACACACATTCCACACAGACCATCAAGGCCAACATCCCCAACGCTGTCTGCAACCGCTTCGGGGCTTTCTAGCCATAGCAACTGACTGAGCCTTGGGCGAGGAGGGGAGATCGGAGATGGAGTTCGAAGAGCTAGAAGCAGAGGTATGTTCAGCGTCCAGATTTAGCTTTGCTTCTATGCCAACGGAGTCTTGATCTGCGTAATATGAGCTTCGATTTCTCTGGTTTTGCTCCACCTACTAACCGTATGAAAGATCATCCATTTCATACGACCACACTCGGTGAGACCGAATATCGGTTCGACCATCCGCTATAAGTATCCTTTAGAGTGAGCGAGTGGGTCGTTTTTTCCTTGTCTTGAGATATCGAGGGTGAGAAGAGTTGGAAACAGACCAACAGAGGCTTGTATGTTGGAAATATGCATCTTGCATCCGTCAACATCCTACTAGCTATAGTAGTCGACGGGCTCTTAATTGGGAATAGTAGCGCCGTGTGACAAAATGATGTTCAACCTGCCCACTGGGGTCTGATCTTCGATCCTCTTCAGTCGCGGAGCATCAAAATGACCACAAGATTACCTAGGTCCCCCATCTACCATCAATTCAGAAGTTCAAAATATATTTTAAAAAAAATGTGATCAAGGCTATATCTCGAAAGCAGAAGGAATCAAAGTATATGGTGAATCCAACTATGTAACTAACTTTACTGCCTTAATGCCTTGAGTCCTCAGGCCAGTTCCCCAGACGAGCTGTCCCCGTCGTGTCGACTTCATTCGTCGACGGCCCGATCACGTCCAGAAAGCCCAGGAGCAGAACGCCCAGGAGCACAACTTCCCAGGTGCATATGTACCTAGGTAGGTATGATAGAGACCTCATTGAGGAAAGTACTAAGTTCTCCCTAGATCCCTGTTTTATATTGAAACCAAGCAATTTCATAAATTCATACGAAAGAAGGCCTTCATCTACGAAGATGATCATTCAAATTCATTGACGGTCCTATGGAAACAGGGACACGTGTCCACGAAGCCGGCAGATAACTGACGAGTAGAACAGTAAAAAACAAAACAAAGTAGCGCCTGTGATGCAGTCAGTGGCAATATATGAGGTCAAATCACCTTGTTTGAACCAAAGCCCGTTCTTGAATGCGCCAGGGTATCCATCCATCGACCGGAGATGCAACATAAAAAAAGAAAAAGCAGAAAAGATGGCAGCGCCGCAATTATACGCCCCATCCCATGACAATAGCAAGTATTTAACCGACAAGGGTGCTTTTGATAGACAAAAGAAGAAAAGGATTGGCCACTCTAGGCCCGGAAATCGTACATGCGAACTTGGTAGTCATCACCACCAGTGATGAAGCGGCTGTCGCTTAGGCCAATGCAGTTGACAGCTGCGCTGTGACCTTCATAGGTATCCTGGCCAGTAGGAATACGAGGATCCCAGATCTTGACCATGCGATCCATGCCACCAGAGGCAATCCGCAGTGTATCAGCAGAAAGAGCCCAAATGCCTTCTAAATGTCCAAAGAAGGTGCGAAGACATCTTCCGGTGCTTGTTTCCCACAGTCGGATGGTCGTGTCTACACCGCTCGTGATGATGTAGCGTGGGGGTTCGATGCGGTCTTGATCCTGGTCAAAAGAGGAGCCGAACGGTGAGTTCGGGAGAGATGGAGACTTGGCCTCAAGAAGAGGGGAAAGTGTGCTCAGGATGTTGTCGCCGCTTTGAGAAGATGTGCCGACGTGGTCGTTCTCGCAGTCAGCGAGGTGATTCTCCAGTTCAATTTCTCGAGGTAAAGCAATGACTTGCTGAACGGCTCCGATGTGGTTATGGAAGACTCGGATGCAAGTCTTGGTGTCCAAGTCCCAAAGGCGTGCGGCACCATCGTCGCAAGCGGTCAAAACTGTGCGCGAAACCGAGTCGATTTTGACGGCGTTGACTCCCTGTGGGTGCGGAAGAATGAAAGTAGACTTGTCCTTGAAATTCCAAATCTTGACAGTGCGATCGACAGAGGCGGATGCAAGAAGAGTGCAATCAAAGTGGAGTGCGATGACCGCTTCAGCGTGGCCATTGTACTTGGAGATACATTCGCCTGTACGCCAGTTCCAGATTCTGATGCTACGATCCAGACTACCAGTGATCAATTTGGTGTCATCGAACTGGAGGCATCGCACTCCAGCGACGTGGCCCTTGAGAGTTCTCAATTCTTCGCCAGTGTCGGTGTCCCATATTTTAACTGTAGCATCATAGGACCCAGTCATCAAGATATTGTCTTCGAACTGGAGACACATGACACTGTCTCTGTGGCCTTTGAAGACCTTGACCGAACATCGCTTGTGCTTCCAATTCATACCGACAACGAATCGGTCCCGATAAACCTCCTTCCACGGACGGTAACGGGTTTTGAAGTAACTCTCGTCCACTTCAGGAGACTGGGGAGGCGATGCACAATGGCGCTTTGCAAGGGCAGCGGCTTCTTCGTCGGATTCCAGCTTGCGTTTGCCAATGGCGGAAGGTTCGACTGTCGAGCAAGATTCGACCATTGCAGCTTCGGTAGACCCAACTGCAGGCTTGTTGTTGCCCCAGTTGGTGGCGCGCAATTCAATCTCACGCTTGGCTTCGCGCAGACGCTTGCGATCCAGAAGAGGAAGACCCCAACCACACTTATGACACTTCCGTCGAATGTGCTGCTCGCACATCCGGTGCCACACCACATCATCATCGGCGAGCGCTCTCCAGCGGGGAGAAACTTGTGCTGCTCGGCACAAGGAGGCCGTGTCGAGGTAACGGAGAATTTTGAAGGACAGCTCTGGAGGAAGGGCAGCGAGGAAATCGATTCGGATGAGTTCGCGGACACTGGCGGAGATGTAGGATAGTTGGGGGAAGCAGGACTGCGCTAGAATTCCCTGGAGCATGAGAGTCCGCTGCTTCGCTGGAGCAGCGGAGAACAACGACCACACATGGGCAATACCCTGTTGGTCACTTTGAGGGAGTAAATTCAGCTCGGACTGCAGCTGGGTCATCGACTGTTCATCGGCTTGGCGTCTGCTACATTTTGAGTCCGGTTGATGACGATAGCAGTAGCTGGCATTTACTAGGTGTGGCTCGGATGGAGTCGACACCTGCGAGCGCAAAGGCGCATATTGTCGTGGCTGATATTTTGCGAGGAATGGAGCCACGTTCTGCCTCGCTAGGTCCTCCAGGGTTTGTGTGGTATTGTCGGTGTCTTTGCGCGGCAGAGAGCGGTTGGAGTCGGCGTTCGCACCAACCCCCGCATTTGCGATAACCAGGCTCTGCTGCGTGGACGAGGCTTTCGGCGTATCGGCCATGGTGACTGATCTGGTCTCGCGCGGTGTGAGGGGAAGTGGAAGGCCGCTCGGGCGAGTGACGGTCGCGTCTGATGTATCGAGATAGGAACCAGCCGGTTTTCAAATATCCCTGTTCTCCTGGGTTGAATTGTTTAGAGAGAGGAGCACGCAGGGAAGATATCGATCAATGCACAATGAGTGTCTTTGGAAAATTCTCCAGAATCAGGGAGTCAAGAGGGAGGGGGTTCAAGGGCTATCGATTCGGGCGATATGGGTACCCTGAGAGGAAGATTCGGATAAGAGCGATATCGAGCTTCCAAGGTCGGCAACTGAAATCGACTTGGATTATAAAGAGAAAGTAAAAATGGGATCGGCAGAGGCTTTAAATCAGAAAATTATTCAGGGGTCAGGAAAAAATTGCACAATCCGGATTTGTCTTTGATATCGCCATCGATGAGTCTGGGGAATTGCGTGACAACGGCAGGGCGGCAAATACACGATCTCGGCGGTGAGGCACGTGACTATGATCCGCATGGCGCCATCTCCACGCCATCGCACCTCAATCGATCAGTTCCTACGCTTCCGACAGGCTGATTCGCTATCACTTGGTTGGGCTGGGGTGAAACGGGGCATTTTATCTTCTGTATGATTGAGGCTAGTCCCACAGCCATTACACACCGACACTCACACTTTGTCAGACCCACTGCCCCCAGCCTTTGTTGGTTACTACCATACACCCTATTGCGGTCTATCTAAACCTTCTGTGACCGGCTTGCCGTGTATACCCTTTAAGTCGTACCCAGAGAACCAGGTCTCGACCGAGAACGGATCGAGAACTACTGGTAAGAGGCTGTGTTTCATCCCTCTATTTGCCAGTCATTTTTCGGCTGGAGCTCGTGCTTGACTTTTGGTCTGCCGTGTACTTAGAGCACGGCCGGACTTATTGTACCGAGCTCCCGAGGTCCTCATGACCCAGCTCCCAGGTCTATGCGCTACAAAGTAGCCGTTATTTCCTCCGGTTGTGTTCAGGTTTACACCAGTTCTGATTTGGCAAATATAAGCCTATACTGAAGTGTCCTAGGGTTTTGGTGGAAGTGGAAGTGGTGCAATCACCCCCTTTCCCTCGTAGCTGTGTCAATCACTTTCACCCTCGCCCCTGAGAGGTCTATATTTTTCTCAACCCTGGTCTTATCTTAGTCCGAATGCGCCATTAACAGAGTTAATTGACTCTCACAATGGCGTCATCACAGTCCTCTTCATCATCTATTGATCCACAGGCTGGACTGAACCAGGGGGACCAGCAGTCCCTACCCCAGCTTGACACTCTGATCTCGTATCTGCTGGGTGCCAAACGTTCGCTCTCCTCCATTACCCATGTCTGGCGGGCCAATGAAATAGTCACTGCGTCACACTCGGCGTTGGAGAAGAGTGTTGTCCTGTGCTCCCGGACAGGATTCTTACGCCAAGGCCTTAATGGACAACTTCGTCTTTTATACGATGTTCGTACCGAGGTTGAACAGATATCATACCGAGGTCGTGATGAATTTTCATTAGCACTAAAGAACCTGGATGCGGCTGATGCTCGGCTCAGAAACACGTTAGATCTGCTCCGCGGGACTGTCGTTCACGCGTCATTCAGACCTGGCGATGAAGAGCAAAAATCCCTACATGACTTTGTTGATGAGCGGGGTGTTGAAGAGCTACATGCCTCGTTGAAAGCGTCTATCGACCGCACTAACACAGCGCGTGCTGAATTGGACGCTTCCAATCGTGAATTTGATGACGAACTTCAAGCCATCAGACAGTCGCTTCGTCACTACCACACAGCCACGAAGTTGGCGTCATCCCGATTATCAATGGCATCTTCCTCGTCATCTGCGTCCGATTCCGGCCTTCTCACTTTGTCGTCTATGCCGGGCCAGATCCAATCGCTAGAGGCCCATGCTCAAGAGATGGCCATTCTTTTGGAAGCCCTGGTCCGGCATTTTGATCTCTGTGTCACGGCCGTGAAGCATACTGATGGTGGAGGAGCAGTTGCACGATCCATAACGGGAGATATGCCAACTGGTGTTGACGGCAGCAACGATGGAATGCCAAATATCGGGGCAGAGATCAACGCCAATTTGAATGCGCCTCTTGACCCAATGACTGAGGCTGAGTACCAAGAGATGGTGGCTGTTTTGATCAAAGATGCCCCCGAGGCGGATGATGTTGTTAGGGAGATCGAAGATCGCATTAATGAGATGGAAACCATATTTGAACAAGTGCAAGCGCAGCGAGACGCCCTGCTGTCCATCTCCAAGGCAACGATCGAAGTTCACAGCCACCTATCCTCTCTCGCCTCATCACGCTTACCCCGTTACATTTCCAAGGCACACAATTTCACGCGCGTGTGGCTTGAAGAAAACGACCGCATCAATTCTGGTCTCGCCGAACTCTCTGATCTGCACTCCCTGTACGACGGGTTTCTCAATGCTTACGACAGCCTGATGCTGGAAGTAGCACGTCGGCGTCATGTTCGCCAACGTGTGGAAAAGGTGCTCCGAGATACCCGGCACAAACTGGACCAACTCCATGATGAAGATGCAGCTGCTCGTGATACCTTCCGTGTTGAACAGGGCGACTTTCTTCCGTCAGACATATGGCCCGGCGTTGGCTTAGCGCCAATGCAGGTGCAGTTCACGCGCCTCTCGGGCGGTCAGTTGGATGGTGGTCATGTGGCGCAGAATGCACTCGAGGAACCTAGTGGACGCAAGTATGCAGGGGCTGTCAAGTCGGGAGTATCGGATGAAAGTGCCGAAGGAGAACAAATCCCTGAACTGCCGAGAGACCTCGTTGAGGAAGCTTATGCAAGGGTCAAGGCACGAAACAAGGCCGCGTCCCAAATGCACACCGCTTGATTTTCCGTGATGTCTTCGACGCTGGCAGCTTTTACTTCCATCCAGTGCAAATACTCGACCCATCACCGTCCGAGTATTACACCATTTCCATTGGTGTCTTCGGCCTCACTCTGAACTTCACACTACATTCGTAGCTATGATGGAAATTGGATCTTGGCATCTCAATGCCGCTTCTAGCTACTACATCATGACCATGGCATGATTGCGACTTAAATGATGAAGACACAATAGGTCTGACCTTCCGTCATCCTCCTCATTTATATTCCCTGCTCGATGCTCATTTCCTAGATGCATACTCTTACGCTTTTCGCAGGATGTAAGCACTGTTTGGTGACGCTTGTGGGGAATTTATGGCGAGAGGATGGGTTGGGGTGACGTCCAAAGAGAGCTCTGATAAGTCGTTACCTCGATTTAAATTTCTTTTTTTTTCGAATCAGTTGTGAATGCTCCCATATATACTATGAATATCAATCATGTACTCTAAATGGGACCCAGTCTTGAAGAGCTTGCATCAAATATATACTTATGTTTTCCCATTTCTATCGAGTATAGACCAAGGTATCAAATGCCCAATGCTCCATCCATCCATCCATATATGCATTTCATCATCAAATCATGCCAAGCTGTAGATTGACACAGTGTCCAAACAATCGCAACTCGTGCACATGCAAAGAAAGATAAGGTCAGAAAGGTACGAGAGCTTACTTCTTCTTTCTCGAAGACCCAGAAACAAGCTTCTTCTTCATGTGCTTGGGCATCTTGTTCGCCCGCTGCTCACGCTTCTCCTCCTTCACCTTTGCCTTGTGGTCGCGCTTGGAGTCTTTGTCTTCGAAACGCTTGCCTCGTGGCGGCTTCGGCGCGAACGGATCTATTTCTTCGTCTTCTGAGTCGGATCCTGAGACGGAGACACCGCCGCTTGCATCAGACTCAGCATCTTCCTCGACATCAGTGGCAGTGGCCTTCTTTTTGCCGCCGGCCAAGAGGTCTCCGTAAACCAGGTCAGCACCTTGGCCATCACGAATGCGTTCGGCGTCACGCTCGACATCATACACCTGCTCTAGGGTCTGGGGAATATATTGTTGACGGAAGACAGCAGTGTCGACATCTTCAGCCTCCTGCTGCTCATCATCGCCCTCCTCGCGGGCAACGAGAAGCTTTTCGATAGCGTTGGTCATCTCCTCATTGCCTGCGGTTACATCAACCGGTCCTTCTGGGGAGATGATGAACTGGAACACAGTCCGCTCGGGAAGAGTCAGAATGTTCTTTCGGCGGAAGAAGTCGCTGACGTTCTTGATATCCATGCGCAGGAATTCGAGACTGCGGGGGTGGTCGTGCTCAACACTTTGACTGACATCGATGATATATAGGCGTTCCTTGTGGTACAGAATGTTGTACTCGCTCAGATCAGCGTGTACCAGACGGCAGGTCTGGTACATAACGCGCATATAGCCCAACAATTCGATATACAGGGCACGCCAACGAGTCTCGGGTTCGGGAATCTTGAAGTCCACATCCTTGAGTCGCGGTGCGCCCAGACCCTTTGAGCTACCAATGAATCCCATAACAAGGACGTGCAGACGAAGGAAGATAGGCTCGGGGCAGGGAATGCCAGCGGCATGAATTCTTCGCAGGTTTCGCATCTCCTTCTCGGCCCAAAGTTTGACCATGGCGCGATTGTTGCTCTTGTTGTATCCTTGACGGAAACGGAACTCTCCAGTAACGTACTTATCACGATCCTTGAATACCAAGATACTAGTCTTGTAAACCTTGATCGCACGGTGGAGTGGGGCAGCATCCTCGTCTTCCTGCGAGATGGACATAGCATGGTAGACATTCGCTTCCTTTCCGGTTGACAAACATCCGTGAATTTCTGAGACAAGACCTCGGTTGATCATCTGCAGCAGAAGCATCCGCGTACGGGGATCCAACACCTGTTCGGATGTGGCTCGGTCTGCTTTATCTCCACCCTTGTCGTTGCGCCCCGAGATGCCGGCTTGCTGGTCGTCCAGCTTGATCTTTGCGGCATGGCGAGTGAGAGACTTGACCTGGTCATCAACAAAAGCAGAAGTGTTCACGGTAGGCTTCTGGGTGTTCGTCTTGGGGTATGTCCACCTCGGCACA